TATAAAAATAAGCTTCTCAGAAGCCAGGCAGGAGGGCCAGGGATTTAGCTCAGTGGTGCCATCACCTGCCTTGCAAGCGCAAGGACCTGAGTTTGATCCCCGGTACCAAAAAATAAAACCCCAAAACCAAAAAAGAAGCCAGGCAGGGGGGCAGACGCCTGTGATCCCAGCACTGGGGAGGCTGAGGCAGGTAGATTGCCACAAGGTCAAGGCCAGACTGGCTACATAGAGAGTTCGAGGCCAGCATGAGCTATATATCAAGACTCTGTTTCAAAAACCCAACCAAGCAAACAGAAAAGGAAAATTTCTTAGAATCTAAAAGCAAGCCTTTGGCTGGGGATCTAGCTTAGTGGTGCTGCGACTGCCTCGCACACAAAGCACACACGCACACACACACACACACACACTACAAGCAAGCCATCTTAAATAAAAATGCAAAATATATGTGAGAACAAGTAGATGCAGGAAAGTGGGCAAAATGTGGGAAGGGGGATGCAAAGGACTGGGGCTTGGAGATCCCTGGGTCGTGGGGAGGGGAGATGGGCTGTGAGGAGCTAGAGCAGAGGTTCCCACCGTGGGCTCCCCAGGCCAGTGGCAGCACCCGGGACCTCAGGAGAAGCGCAGATGTTCAGCCAAGCTCCGGAGCTGGAACCTGAGCATGGAGGTGGTGGCCGTTTTAACGAGGCCTCCAGCACTTTCTGGTGGGGCTCAGGCACAGAGAGGGGGCTGCCTGGGAGACTGCTGCCAGGCCTGGGCCTTGTATGACCAGAAAGGAGTTGCAGGGTGACAGTGGCAGGAGCTTCTTGGGGGCTGAGGAACCCGGCCCTTCAGAGCCAGGGAGGCCCCTTCTGCACTTAGCAAGGAGCCCCGGACTGTATCCCAGCCCCAGAAAAAACAAACCAGAGCCAGCTGCTGGCCGCTTGGAAGCCCGGGAACAGGCCCAGCGTGGTGGCACTCCATGCACAGGGCCAGGCCCAGCCTGCTTCCCAGCACCTTCCCCTGGGCCGCTGCAGGGTGATCTGTGTGTAGCCCGCAGCCAGTCCAGCAGGAATAGCTGTTTCCTGGGAACTGTGCTTCTGCTAGGAGGCGGGCGCCTGCTGCCATCCCCTCCCAACACGGGGCTGCCGGGCCTGGCAGATATTTTTGGCGGGGCTTTGGCGGCACCGGACAAAGTGCTCTCAGAGCCGGGATGAACGTGCCCTGTCTGTGCGGTCCAAGTGGGTGCCACGGCTGGATCTGGCTCCGCAAGTGCCATCTGGGCCAAGCCTGCGGCTCTCTGCCCGGGCGCCCTAGGGCAGGCCACGGGCACCCTCTCCCAGGCCGGCAGCAGACACTGCTTCTCTGATCCTTCCTCAGGCAGCCCAAACGTGGCACACAAATAGAGCAGCGTCCTCAGCTAGGTTGGGCATCAGGGAGGAGCGTGACCGATTATTCTCAAGGATGAGGCCACAGAGCCCGAGCAGCCCCCACCCCAGGAAGCCACCCCTCCTCGCAGTGAGGGCTGCCTGCCTGTCGAGGTTGGGCTGGGCACAGAGCCCTGCGTGCTGGAGTGTGGGCCTCAGAGTCTCTTTGTGGTTACTGTACAATCAGCACCCCTCAGAGTGGCCTTCAAGGCCTCTGGCCACCAGGCCTGGCTGTCCGCAGGACCCCATCCCTCTCCTGCTGCACTGGCCCAGCACCTGAGCCTGTCATGCCCAGGCGGTGACACCTCCAGCCTTCACCTGTGCAGAGCTGTTTCCTGGATGGCTCCTGCCCCCCCTCAGCTCTCTGCCTGGCTGCTGTGGCATCTGCCTCTTCCCCCGCGGGCAGGTTCTGTCTCACCCATTTAAGGGTCCCCGGGACTCCCTGGCACTGGCCCTGCGGGCGTTCACAGTGGAAGAAGCCAAGTTCCCAACTCACCTCTGCTGGGACATCCCATCCCACCGAATCATGCCATCTGGGCTGCCACTTGTCACCTGCAGCAGGGACATGGGGTACCCTGAGTTCACCCAGAGGGGAAGGGGTACAGATGGCCCTGGCTGCCGGCCCTCAAAGCACATTCGTGTGGCCTCTGCCCCCTCCCTGGCCCAGCCTGCTGTGTTGGGGACCAACCCTCTGGGAGAACCTCAGCCCTGAATCTCACCCCTGTGGGGTGGCTGGATTTGAACCCAGGCCTGAGCCAGGGCCACACTTCCTGCATTGTCCTCTGGGGCTGTCCTTCTTTCCGTGGAGCAGAGGGCTCCTATCCTTTTGCAGGGAACCGCATGTCTCAGAAAACACCCCACTTCTGCAAGAAGAGAGGCGGTAGAGTTGCTCACTGGGAATTTTGAGAAGATACTGACGGATCACCCAGGCCGTTTAAAGCGGCTTTCTTACGGAGCATCTTGGCTTGTGTGGAATGTGTCTGGTTTCTTTCTTTCTTTGCACAAAGTAGGTTAAGTGAGTGATGAATGATTGCCCTCCCCTTTTGGCCTGGAATTTTACGTTTTCTCAGCGTCATATTAAAGTGGGTACCGTGGGTGCCGATGTTCCGTGGACATCTGTGGTGGTGGGGCGCTGTGTGGGATGGCAGAAGGGAAGGAGCCAGCCTGTCGCAGGCTTCAGGGAGGTGGACAGAGCTGGGGCCTCCCCCGCGTCTCGGCACCCCCGGGTGGTAACGGATGTCCTGGCCGCCTGGATCTTCCCGCCACGGCTTCATTCCTGGAATTTCTGGGTGGTTTGTGGGGACAGGCGGGACCTGCCCTCCTCCTCAGCCTGTGAATGCTGGGTCGGCTGTGAGGAAGAGCAGAGCCCAGGGAAGCCAGGGCTGGGTCAGCCACCGCCTGGCTTCAGGGGCAGGGACAGTACTGCCCAGCCGAGGGGCTCTCGCTGCAGGGACAGCCATGTTGCAGGGTGAGCAGACTGCGTGGCCACAAGGAGGCTGCTGATCTTCTCTGAGCCTCGGTTTCCTCGTGTGTGGAGCGGGGTGGTCGGTCCATCCATGGGGAGGTGGGGTGACAGGAGCCAGCACCCAACCCTGCATCCTCCTGGGACCAGTGCGTCAGGGTCACCAGTGGCACGGAGTGTCCACTGGAGGATCAAGCCAGACAGGTCCAGGGACCAACAGTGGGATAACAGACAGGCACATGGGGAGTGGGGAGCAACTCAACACGGCCGCCATGAGATGTTGAGCGATGTAGGCCTGGATTCGATGCGCCGTAGTCAGAATCCAGGTCACACCCTCAGAACACACTGCCTCCGCTGTCTTGCCGTGCCCTCAGCTCTCTTTGCCCTCTGCGCCCATGGGTGCAGTCACGATGCAGTGGGTGCTTTCTGGAGACACCAGCTCAGGGCTGGACACCGACCACCATGGAGTGTGGACACCTCACGGGGCCCGGGTCTCGGGGAGAGGCAGGCGGTGATCGCAAATCCCACGAGTCAGTCTACGCAGAGCCACGGGAGGGGACCGGTGGCACGCAGAAGTGGCTCCTGACAAGTCACTGTCAGCAGCATGAGCAGCCGAGTTCCTACTGGCCCCGCAGACCTGGTGAGGACGTCCTGAAGCTGCTGTTCCTCGGAAATGGCCAACGCAGCAGGCACCAAGCTCAAGTTGGTCTCCAGTCTGGTGGGGGCTTTTGTTTTTTTCTCCCAGGTGCTGCACACTTAAAAACTGGATTTTGTGAGGCCCAAGGCTGAGGAGAACTGTCCCTTCCCAGCTTGACTGCTGTTACCCCGGGCTGTTCAACTCCTTCCTGTGGGTGTCAGTGGGCACCGTCACTCTGGGGCAGTATTGGGAATCGAACCCAGATCTTCCCTGTGAGCCCAGGGGAAGCCAGGAACAGTGGTGCATGCATGTAATCCCAGTACACAGGAGACTGAGGCAGGAGGACTGTAAAATTGAGGTCAGCTCTGGCTACAGAAAAGCAAGACCCTATCTCAAAAAACAAAGCAAAACCCAAAACAAGCAGGAAGTGGAAGAAAAGGCGGGGAGGAGGACACAGAAATCATACCTAGTCCTTATATGGCTCTTCTGATCTAGCTGGGAGGAGAGCTGCACTTTCATCTCGTAAATATTTACTGAATAGTCACTTGTCAGACCCTGGGGACTCAGTGCTGAGCAGGCCTGAGGCTTCCAGGAAGCGGCTGGGATGCACAGGAGCTAATCCACCGGGCCTGGCCCCGGGGCGCCTCGCGGTCAGGGAACAGCGTGTGCAGGCGCAGAGCCGGACCGGCAGAGCTGGGAGCGGCATCAGCATCCGGCAGGCAGGCTTTCCCAACGTGGGAACGCAGCCACGCGGT